TAGATAGATAGATAGATAGATAGATAGATAGATAGATAGATAGATAGATAGATAGATAGATAGATAGATAGATAGATAGATAGATAGATAGATAGATACTCTTCCACAGTGTCTGTTACTTCCTGTTAGCATGTAGCATCAGTGGATGCTAGCTGTGGAATCTGTGTTCTAGCTGGATGCTAAAGCCTCTGCTAGCATGTAGCATCAGGCTGAGAATAACTATAGTGTTACTATAGAAAGAAAAAGAGAGAGTCTGTGTATGTGATAGCATACTATGCTAAAGTGACTCATTTTAGCATAGTATGCTATCACATAACATAATCTATGTTGATTACTGATTGTTTTACTCTTTTTAGCTCTACTTTTTGTTAAACTCTCCGGCTACAGATTTGTTTAACATTTTTGTGCCTCGTAATTTTTTCTATGAGAAAATGTACCTTGGCTCAAAAAAGGTTGAAAAACACTGATTTGTACTGTGACAAAAGAGGAAAAAATGTTGAATGTTGAAATCAGTGTTTTTCAACCTTTTTTGAGCCAATGTACATTTTTTCATTGAAAAAACCACGAGGCACACCACCAACCAAAAATGTTAAACAAATCTGTACATTTTTGTGTTTATTTGATTCCTATTCAAGACACTTAAGATAAGATAATAATAAAATAAGAATAACTATAGTGTCACTATAGGCGGATACAGATTTGTTTAACATTTTTGGTTGGTGGTGTGCCTCGAGATTATTGTACCTTGGCTCCAAAAAGGTTGAAAGACACTGTCTTACTCTAACCCCCCCCTCCTTTAGGAAGTACCACACCCACCTGCTGCAGTTCGATGGGGAGGGCGGCTGGCGCTTTGAGCAGCTGGACTCGGCCACGCGTCTGTCTCTGACGGAGGAGAAGCAGCGGCTGGAGGCGCAGCTGGCCGGCATCCCCGAGATGCAGAGCCGGCTCAACGAGCTCTGCTCCATCCTGGGGGACGACTCCGTCCTCCGCACCGCCCAGGAGTAACCCCCCCCCCCCCCCC